GAAGCGTCTGGCGAAAGTTATACGCGTCTAGCAGTGCTGGATATTACTTTGTAAGAATGTTTTACAAAGTAGATACAAAACTGAGAAAATAGGATTCAAGTCAAATAAGTTATTTTTACTTTCTGATATGATATATCAATAAATCGGCCTAACTTAGCAGACACGCAGGCGTTGCAAGTATATATATATATATATATATACGCTATCCACATTTTTTTGTCTTCCAGAAAATAGGTAATGTCTGGTAGCACTTGAATCTCAATCTAAAACGTTGAATTCTACAGCTTCTGATTGCTACTGTATCAACGCTCACCAGTGATTTGACATCGCACAATCTTGACCGCCAATTAATCGATATATATATATATATATATATATATATATATATATATATATATATATATATAACAAAAATAGGAAAATAATGGACAAAATCCGCAAAAAGTGGATTCGAGCAGAAAATAGGATAGGTAACCCGAGCGATACGTATTTCTGCTGGTTGGTTTCATCAGGCCCGAAATGAATGCACATATGCAACTACAAAAGTAGAGACACATGCCCATACATCCGGGTACGGGTGTAACCTGAGGAAACAAAGATGGAGAGGAAAAAAAAGACACACGAAGTCCACAACAAGAGCCAACCTACACATTGTAGTATAAAATGGCTAGGAGACCTCGAATTTTCAAGGCGACAAATAACCACAACCACGCGGCCGGTTATAGCCACTTGCTCTTTGTAGATCCTTTGGGCTTGAAGTACGTATCGCTCGGGTTACCTATCCTATTTTCTGCTCGAATCCACTTTTTGCGGATTTTGTCCATTATTTTCCTATTTTTGTTATATACCTTTCTCCGCATGATAATTATATATATATATATACAGGGTGGTCCATAAGTCCTTTGAAATTTCAAACTTGAATAAAATTTAACGGGTGAGCGTGAGCGGCGCGGGCGAGGTGGGGGCAGTATCTTCAGTGTCTGGGAATTCAGTTGCCATGGAGTGTTTCACTGGAGCGGATCGTGCTTTTTGTGTGCGCGCGTTTTATCAAAATAATGATTCGGCAACCATTGCGCGGCGTAAATATCGAGAATACAACAATTTACACAATTTTACAAAGTGTCCAACAGCTCAAACGATTAAGAACTGGGTTGCTAAGTTCGAAGAGACTGGTTCGACGTTAGATAAACAGCGGTGGGGTCGACCAAGGACAACTCGTATTGAAGAAAACATCAACATTGTGGCACAGTCTGTTCGTCAAAATCCTACCCAGTCTACTCGTAAGCGTTCCAGTGCACTAAACGTACCCAGAACACCTTTACAGCGGATTTTAAGGAAAGATTTACGTCTGCACGCTTACAAAATTCAGTTAGTGCAGGAATTAAAAGATAATGACGCTATTCAGAGACTAAACTTTGCGAATTAAATGTTGAATCGATTTTCTTCGCTCAATAATGTGTTGTTCTCGGACGAGGCTCACTTCCATTTAAACGGGCATGTAAATAAACAAAATTGCCGTTATTGGAGCCCCGAAAATCCAAGGCGTAAGCATCAGAAGCCCTTACACAGCCCTAAAGTTACAGTTTGGGCTGCTATGTCAGCGCATGGCATCGTAGGCCCTTATTTTTTTGAGGACGACAGAGGTCGCGCATTAACTGTTACTTCGGAGCGGTATGTAGCAATGATAGAAGAGTTTTTGACACCAGCGTTGCAGAATTTTCCAGGCTATAATACGCAGACCTGGTTTCAACAGGACGGAGCAACTGCCCACACCTCCAACACTTCTATGCCCGTCGTCTGTCAACTATTTCCCAGCAAAGTAATTTCTCGAAGAGGAGACATTTCCTGGCCACCATGTAGTCCAGATTTGACCCCAATGGACTTCTTTTTATGGGGCTACCTCAAGAGTAAAGTGTACGACACCACTCCGCGATCAGTTGATGTCCTGAAAGAAAATATCCGAAGAGAAATGGCAAGCATTACAGTGTTGACTTGCCGCGCAGTCATCTACAATTTTAGACGTCGTTTATATGAGTGCCGTGATCGTAATGGATTGCATTTAGACGATGTGATTTTTAAAACATAATTCCCATTCAATAAAGATGATAACAAAATATAATAATTCTTCATAATGTAACTAGTTTGGTTTTATTCCTTTTTTTCCAGCTCAAAGGACTTATGGGCCACCCTGTATATATTTCTATGAAACTATTTCTTAAAATACAGAGCGCGCCAGATAGGCGTACGAATTTCAAAACCACATTTCTCGTGGCAGGCGCGGGTAGTTGAGGTAAGTAGCTTGTTGCTTGGAACTTTAGTCGCCATGGAGCGTTTCACCGGTGAGCAGCGTGCTTTCTGTGTAAAGGCTTATTACTAAAACGGGGATTCGTGCACTATTGCACGGCGTCTATTTCGCTCTGAGTTAAGTTTACATGATGTAAATCAATGTCCTAGTGAAAGTGTGATCAGGTCAGGGTTCAGGAAGTTTGAGTCTGCGGGTACGATACCTGGGTGCGCCCAAGGTCAATACGAACGGAGGAAAATAAAAGCGAAGTTGCGACGTCCATCCAAAATTAAAACACCAAAGACCTCTGCATTAGCGTAGAGTTACAGCTTGTAACAGTAAATTTTAATCTTCACACAGCAATGTTACGTATGTTTTTCTTTACACAACTGCATAATTTTGAAGCCTACAACAGCAAGCCCCGATTTCAATAAAATGGCGCAACATCTCAGACACCCAATGAGTCTGTAGCAGTTGTAAACGAAATGTTTAATGTAAAACTGATATGGCGACGAGAGGATATTCCGAGGCCTTCACGAAACGCAGATCTCACGCAAAGGGATTTTTTCCTCTGGGGATACCTCAAGAGCCGCGTTTACGCCAATAAACCGACGACGGTTACCAGCTCAAAAACAATATTGCAATGTGCAAGCGAGTTTTCACGAATTTGAAGTCTACATTCGAGGAGTGTGTGCGTCTCGATGGCTCGCATCTCAATGTTATTAAATAAAATCCCATCTACTTTATTAAAAATATAAATCTTTCCTACGGCTTTTATTTTTTCTATGATTTTGTAAAATGCGTTGTTTTATGTTTTTATTACAGTAGACGGAAGACTAGATTCAAATGGAGGAGGCATTCCACGAACGCGTCATTCGCGTAGTGGACCAACATACCTATATGTAGGCGTAAGGAATATGTCAAATCATTAATCTTTGATAAATACGAGAAGATTGAATGATGAGATTAGAAACCATATTCGTTATTAAAAAGAAACATCCCCTAATGCTTCTGAAGGTGGCCAAAAATCAACAATGAGAGCTTTCTAATGCGTAACTTTACTATAAGAGGCTTCACAACAATTATTTGTTTCTTTCCATGTTCAAGTTCTACGGGATCTATTAAATATCTATTTGGTTATTTTCAACTGAAGAGTTTAAAGGTAAATTTTAAGGGGCGAGTTAACATTTCAACAGTTACCCATGTTATGCATGATGTCAACATAACAGCAGATTATTTTTAAACTGTATGATAGTTTGGGCTTGTCCTATACATAGGGGTAGCATGTTGCTCCTAACTTCCCCTTTGAAGAGCGTCCCGAAACGTCCACCCCCCTCCAAAAGCCCTAGGCTCAAAAGAAAATTGGTGCTCTGGGAGTTAATAGCGTTAAAATAGGAATTCAAGTTTCTCGCTTTAAGAGACCTTAGAGCAAATAAATTTTTTTGTTTTAAAATCATGTTTTCATACAAATGATTTTCACAATAACTAAGGAAAATTGAGATTATCCTTTTGCAAAGTCTGTATCTGCGCGTCTGTGCCTGTTTTAGCGTCTAACCGTAATGTAACATGCGCAAACCGTGTTGCCAAACTTCTATCCATTCCAAAAATGTAGATTGTCATAAATATTTATCGAATTGTTTTGTGTGAACATATAGATGACTAATTTGCTATTTCCAAGGTAGGCGAAGTAAAAGATCATTGCTCCAACAAATCGCAAATGATGGCATTGAATTGCATAGGGATACGATATAGTCAAAATCACGAAAGATGACTATTACGTCATACCATAAATTGTACTGAAATAATCAGTCGACGTACGTCGATGATAAAATCACGATGTCATGAATTTATAAATATTATGATTTTGCGAAGTTAGGTTATTTCACTGATTATTTTTATTTTCATTTTATTTCATGATTTTAAGTGATAGATGCCAATAATAATTTTAATGTCGAGTTGTTATGAAAAAAAAAACAGCTATGAGTAGGATACACCTTAAGACATTAACACCAAAGACCAAAGTATTATTCGAAAACAACCTAACCTGCTTTAACATAACCTAACTATTCATCTTTCAAATATGATCGATCGATCATGCAACATGAAAACATCGTCTATCTTTGTTGGATACATGAAAATTAGTAATACAGTTTATTTAGACAATAAAATTCTGTTCGTCTCTAACATATTTGAAACTTCATTAAAAATTTTCACAAATCGCTGTCGTTTGTCTTTACTACAGACTGAACTGATGACGTAATCGTCATCTTTCGTGATTTCGACTATATACGCGTGGACAATACAATGATTTTGGAGCTACAAAGCTTTATCTGCTCTTGGCCCCTTGAGGTGGGTGAGAAAGTAGACCATGGGGGGTGTAATGTATTGGGGGAGCATAATGATTTTCACAAGACAATTTTGATCTGCGCTAGGGCCCTTGAAGCAACGATTTGGAGCATCTTCAAACGACATTGCATCTAGACAACTACCCCTATGTAGGCCAGGTCTTGGTATCAGTCCTTTTATGATATTTTAACCAGTTGTGGCTAAAATTGTAACCACTTTTATCAACAAAATGTGGACGGTGGCTATAACATCTGGTTAATTTTTTAACCCTGGTTATTTATAACCAAACACTTAGAGAATAGGCCCCTACAGCCATTACAAAAGCATAAGTATGGCTTTTATGAGTTCTCTATTCATATAAAATACTTACCGGCATTTGCTCCAGTGTATTGTCAGATACCCAGATCTGAAATGAAAGAACACGTTTCCTGAAATACTCATAATACCAGTCCTCAGTTATCCCATAGTCACTTCAATCAACAGCTTCAAATTCCTGTTTCAACTTATTGTTTTTTTTTCACTTATAAACATGAAAAATATAGGTTGCCTAATACAGACGTGTAATGGACATATCATTTAGAGAGGGCGAATTTGAGTATTTCAAGTTTTGATGGGTATATTAGATGAGTGCAAGTTAAGAAAAATCATCGGTAGTCGATTTATTGGTCCATTTTTTCACTCTTAGTTTGGGCTAAAACCAGATATTTCCAAAAAAGTCCACCAAGTTCAATTTTTCACAGTTATTTCACTGTCATCAAGATACCCTTTTAACTACCTGTGCATTAATTAGACACATTTAGTTTACTCAATCATAAATTTTTCATATCTCTAATACTTTTTCTCCAAGCATAGGCTCATACGAACTTCTTTCAATACTCTTTCATGCAGAATATAATGAAACTATATATAAATAAGCCTTTTATATCACTCCAGCCGAGCAAGAAAAAGAAATCGTGTATATTAGCAGGCAACCTATATTCTAAAAACTTGTATACTTGTATATATTGTATACTCACCCATGGAAGTACTTTTCAATTCACACTGCCAGATATTGGAGAATTTATATAACGGGCAAATTTGGTAAGAGTGGTTAAAATTTGTAGTGCATTGGGAAATAAAGAAGAAAATATGGATCTGCATGTGTACCATTTTAAAAACACTAAATGCTCCCAAGCTCAATCTGCACTTTTCAGAATGGGTAACCGGCTCCTAATATACCATATTTGCTACGTCTAGATAAATTAAGGAGGATTTAGGTGTGGCGATTGGTTGACTATGGGGTGACCGGGGTTTAGGAAGCCCCCTTGCTCGTGTCCCGTGGGGGCAGTGTTTTGGTGCCCCCGTCGAGGACTAACAAAGCAAAGAAGGCACCAAAACCCACGTCCACCCCATGTACGTTTACTCAAACAATTCAATAAAACACGGAACATTCGCAAGAGAACTTCTTTATTCTTGTGTTTTCGTGTTAACGCACGTTTGCATTCTTCGGTATTATTATACAGATACTATGTACATGGCCAATTTTTTTTGGACAGCCTTTGCTTACCACAGGATAGGCTCCATCATAATAATAATAATAATAAACAATATCAATCATACTAGTATGATTTGCACTGAAAAACTCGAAACCAATAACCTGTTCCTAAAATCAACCTAGAATGATCAATGACGTGGAAATAGAAAGAAACGTTTTAAGTTATAGAAAACAACTTAATCCTTGATGAGGTTAACTAATTGTCATTAATATGGGAAGAGGGTGTGATAATTAATTTGAAATTAATAATATGTTTGGCACCCACAGACAAATAAACGTTGTGTTTTACATGATGAGCCATTTGTCTATAAACACAAGGTTGTCCAGGATATGACAAGATTTCATGTTACAATTTAAAAAAATATAACTTTGTCAGTAACATGAAACTTACGTAAAATGATTATGATAACCATTATAAATGAAAGTGTAAAAAGTATATACAATGTCTAGTTGTGGGTTATCAGTCTCTTCTTTTGGCATACATAATTATATATATATATATATTTGTTTTAAGTTCCCGAATGAAACATACAAGCAACAGTGCCGTATAATATTCAATCCAACGTGGATAGAAAACAAGCAGTCAAACTCCCCAGCAAACGTGTGTGTAAGAACAGTGTCTTGAGTCAATTAGAATGCATTTTCATATACGCATTCTTCACTTGCATACATTCCAGTAATAATGAAGAGATTAACCACTTGTTCTCTATCATTCCTGATGCAACATAAACGAAGCTAGCAGAAGCACATCACTTCAGAAATTGACATAATCATTTATAAAATGACGGATACTATAAAAATATGTAAATGAAAAAAAAAAATGCGGACTGGAAATGCCAGAAGAAAAGAAATGAAACATCACCAGCAAAACAACATTCAAAACAGATAACTTAAGTCAACAATTTGAAAACGACCAGAGTTTACGAAGCTTCCAAAATAAAAATTGGAAAAAGGGCAACAGACATAAATATACACATCCACACGATAATTTACAATTATGCGCAATAAAAAAATTGTCTTCGTGAAAAAACTATAACTCTACCAATAGACTGTACAAATAACTAACTAGATCACATTGTTTTTTTAAAAGTCCACCAGTCACTGAGCAAAATCGATCCAGTTACGTTCAAGACTTGCAGGAACTTTTGAGTACCATACTAACTGCAACTATATTGCTCCTGTATTTCAATGGCTTAATGTCCATAGAGACTAGGAGACATGTTTGAGAGAAGTTACGCCAAGGAAGTTAGGTTTTAAAATAAGTTACCATGGCCTGTCAGTTTTTCAGCCCACCAAGTGACTATGACTATATTCGAGTCCAAATGTTGATATAATCATTTACAATTTGGTTTTTTGACATGTCATTAATAAAATAAAGTTTTTCAGTGAAAAATAGTTAACAAAAAGGTCTTAACCAAGACGTCAATACCGAGCCAATTTGTGGATACATTTTAGTTGATCCCACAATTTTGCACAATGACTGACATTTCATTCTCATACTGATCACTAAGCGTTTGCTTTTGCCATCAAAACCCCGAAAATGATTTTTTAGGGCTTTCTGATCCAGCCATCTAATGTTTTTCCATTATTGTTACCGAGCTTCTTATACGGTTTTCGCCCAGTTGGTCTGAATTTTGAATAGCTCTTTGGGTATTTTAGGAACAGAGTACCAGACTCACTTTCTTTAGAAGCATCCTTATTAGTTGAATCATCTACTGGATCAACATCGATGTCATTTTCTAGTACATCTTCTGTATTTTTATAGGTGGAGTTACAAATATGTGAAGTTGACTTGTTTTCTAAACTATCTACTTCAGAATTATGATTAACTGTTGTTGATTCAGTGAAATTTTCATTAGTTTCTGAAACATAATTTTCACAAACATCTTCAATCGAGTCATTGTTTATGAATGTTTCATTAGCTGATGCAACATCCCAGCTATTGTCAATATTGATAATACCTTCTAAGGCAGTTTCTGTAATTTCTTTGACAGATTCATCACTATTCACACACGTTGCTTTTGCATCGATCACAGACTCATCATTATACTTGGCGAGTTTAGATGAAGTTTCTATTTTTTCAATTTCGCTATCTAGTTTTGTCAAAATATCTTCGTTTGTTGATGACGTTTCATTTTGTGTTTTTATTAGGTAAGTGCGTGTTGTTGCCTTTTTATCCTCGATTTGACCAGAACCCTGTTCTCCACTCCTGTCATGAGTTAAAGTGCTATCACAGTTGATTACATTATTAGTTGTTACAGTAGATTTTGCAGCCGCATCAATATCACTATCATTTTCAATTAAAGTTTGATCTGATGCGCCTGCCGAATTATCAGCCGTTTTTTCAATATGGTCAGATGATTCTGTTTGCATATTTTCATTTTCCTCATGTTCAACTAAATTAATCGTATTTTCATTTTTATTAGGAGGTGATAACTTCGTGTAAAATGCATTTTCTTCAACTTCTTTAGATTCAACTTCTGTATTTTCGTGTTCAATATGGTTTTGTTGTTTTATGTCTACCGAATCATCAGTCGTTTTTTTAATACAGTCATCCCTATTTGCATCAAAATCTGAATTCACATTTTCACTGTTGTCAAGCGATGTTTTATCATAACATTCTGTTTTATTTTCAGTTCCAGCACATTGTTCGCTACCCTCTGTATCAAAATCAGTTTTTGCAGCAGATTTTCTCTTACTATCTGTATCACCGGATATGTGTACTTGTCCATCTGCTAAAATATCATTCAAAATTATTGAACATTTTTTTACTTCGCACAACCCTGAATCTAAATGTTTACCCTTAACCGCGTTTCTCGGTCTACCACGTTTCTTCTTCACCACCACCACTTTCTCTTCTTCGCCAGACTGACTATCATCTCCTGAAACTGATGACGCTCCCCTCTTTGAAGGCTTCATTACTGGATTTTCTTCGCAGCCAGATTGACAGTCTTCAGATAGCGAGGAGGCGCTTTCTTTATTGTTGCGTTTCATCGGTTTTTCTCCTGGGAGGAGAGGGCTTACGTCCAGCGTCCAGAGATTGATAGCAACAGTGCCTCTGGATCGCGTACGTGGAGAATTGTGATCTGTATCATTCGCGATTAAGTTACCTGATACACTATTACTGCTCAATGACTCAGTACTATCCAGACTGTTCTCAGTGTCTCCGTTAAGTTGTGGTGAACGATCCTCGACTTCAGGATGTTTGAGTCGTCGTCTTTTCCGTCGCCGTTTCATGTGAACGTTTTTGACAAGTTTCTTGTTGATATTTTTAACCTTGATCTCCCGCCTAGCTTTTACCTTAAACCTGCGGAATTTTTTAATGTTGCTGACCTGGTTCGCGGCGTCCTCCCGACTGTATGTGATAATGTCTGCCTCCTCCTCTAGCTCTCTGGCACGCCGTTCCTCCTCTTCACGCATAGCAGCGAGACGGTTCTTTTCCCATTCGCGCTTCTGCTCTTCGATTTCTCGTTCAGCAGCTGCCAGTTGTTCCGCGGACCACGCCGACTCCGTCGCTTCGATGAACTTCATCGCGTACTTCTCGATCGGGGAGAGCTGAGAAACGAAATAAAAACATAAATATATAAATTAGTAATATCTTATCGCACATTGTTGCGCTAACATGAGCAGGCCGACAGGGCGCCATGTAGGAGTGTCCATATTAAAAAAATGTAGATTTGGTTTCTTGGGATTACGACAAAAAATGAGGAACGCTAGAAATCCGAGGTCTGCTAGATAACAGTAAATAGTACATAGAAATTGTGTGCCGTGCCGTGTAGGTAAACTGAATTGTTTGTATACAGGGTGACAGGTAAATAGGTGTAAAACATTTTAGGAGGTGATAGTACAGCTCCTTTGCTATCAAAATTAGTATATAATACCCATACCCTATATTCAAAGGTTTACAAGTTATGGAAGATTTAATTTTTTTAAAAAAACAACCCAGATTACAGAGTAAAATAGTTCAGATAAAAAAAGTTGGTGATTAAACATCCTTTTTTTGTGGTTTCAGGTATTATTTAAATAAATAATTCTCATAAATTAAAAAACATATGAAAACACTACTGAAAACGTATTTATTTTCATTTAAATGTTAAATGAAAATTTTTATTTTCAACTTTCACATTAAGAAGTCTTTTTTTTCAAAAAAATCATAATAAAGAAAATGTACAAATAACTGCAAAAACTTCCTCGTTTCATTAGGTTTCTAAAATGGTATAATAACATATCAGTAAGTAAACCATTTAACAAAACAATATTACTTTGCTAGAAAGGACCGCTAAGCGCATTTCATTGTACTGAGCAGGTAAACCGAGCCTTTCATGGTTCGACCCCTTTTGTTATTTTTTGTGCCCTGTGCCGTTATTCGGGTTTAAGTATTCGGAATCTGTCGTCACTCCTCGGAAGCAAGCCTGCGTGTTATGAATTGACACAGCTGACGGATCAAGGAAAGTGAACTAACGCTTAGGTTAGTTAGTAGAATATCAACCTTTAACGCGGTAGGACGTACTTTTACTTTTTTGATCATTTTAATAATGGCGAGTTACCGTAACGAAGAATACGCTGATATTCTGTTTTGTTATGGTTTAAGTGATGGAAATTCCGTTGAAGCCAGGCGAGAATACGAAAACCATTTTCCGAATCGGCGAATACCGAGTCATCGAGTATTTGCTTCTGTGTACCAACGCGTCAAGGAAAGTGGACAGGTTCATGAGAGACGTAATGATGCTGGTAGACCTAAGTTGTTTGACTACGAAGATCGAAAGGCAATACTGGAATGCTACGGCAGAGACCCGACGACGTCTACACGAGTTATAGCAAAGCAGCTTCGTTTAACTCAGTGAAAAGTTTGGTTTGTTTTGCATTCGGCGAGACTTTACCCTTTCCATTACACACCGGTTCAAGTATTAGAAGAAGGAGATCCCGCAAGAAGAATTGATTTTTGTCGATACATGCTTCATCGGGATCAAGAAGAAAACGACTATTTAACTAAAATATTGTGGACCGACGAGTCTAAGTTTGACAGAGAGGGGACAACAAATTATCACAACTTACATTATTGGGTCCCACGAGAGACAAATCCCCACATGGCAAAGCCAAGAGCCCATCAAAGAAGATTTTCGGCAAACGTGTGGATGGGAATCATTCATACGTATCTAATTGGACCAGTTTTTTTGCCTGACAACCTGAATGGCGAATCCTATGAAAACTTTTTGAGATCCGAACTCTGGGAGTATCTCGAAGACCTGCCTCTGAATATCAGGATGCAGATGATCTACCAACACGATGGTTGTCCCGCGCATTTCCGTCTGGGTGTTAGGCAGTGGCTGGTCGAGAAATATCCTTGTCGCTGGATTGACCGAGGTGGACCGACACCGTGGCCAGCGAGGAGCCCAGATTTAACACCGTGTGACTATTATTTATGGGGGCACATGAAGTCACTGGTGTACGCTGAGCCCATAGACACTCTTGCACAGTTGAAATAAAGAATTATTGCTGCTGCTGACACTATCAAAGGACAACTAACTGGCCGCATCACGCGTACCAACATGAGAAAAAGACTACGGGCTTGCATAAGAAACGGCGGGCGTCAGTTCGAACAACAATTGCAATGAATTTTACCTTCATTCCATTATTGTATTTTACTTACCAATTGTATTAACTTTTAGTCAGTTTTTATTATTCTGTAGTACAATTACAACTGTGTAAATAATCTAATCGTGTAACTTAACCGTAGTTTAAAATAATAACTATCCCATAGCTTACAGTTACATTATTTTCACAAAAACACTTTCTTATCAATCAGAGAGTTGTGAAATAGGAGACAAGCCAGTGGTAAATTTACTCCCTATTGTTGTATTACAATACATTATGTTTAGTTTCACACAGTTTTTGTGCACTTATCATACCAATTTAGATTCCTTATAAAACAAGGATATTATTTAAATTGTTTGTACGTTTTTCTGTATACTGATTTTTTTGTAAAACATCTCACTTACTGCAAAACGTTATTTGTTTTTCTTAAACATTTTTGAATGAAAATAAATACGTTGTTTGGTATTGTTTTCGAATCTTTTTTAATTTAAAATAGTTAATTATTGAAATAATAACCCAAAACCACAAAAAACAAATGTTTAATCGCCAACTCTCGACTTTTTTACTCTGAAATATGGATTGTTTTTAAAAAAATCTTAATTCTTCAATAACTTTTCAACCTTTGAATATAGGGTATGGTATTATATACTAATTTCGATAGCAAAGGGGCTGTACTATCACCTCCTAAAATGTTTTACACCTATTTACCTGTCACCCTGTATAAATCGGATACGGAAAAACGGTGACAGATTCTTAAAGTATATCAATACTTTTTGATTGGGTGTTAGTTTACGTTGATGCCATCAAGGGTGCTGTTGATGCTCCGCGAATGTATTCAGTTCGTTTCCCTGGACAATACCATACCGCGTGGGTTTTTTCATCGCGTATAAAGGGCGGACAGTAGAAAACCTAGACAGCCCCAAAACATCAAAATTCAGGATTTTAACTTAAGTATTATTTACAAGTAACATGTGAAAGGGCAGTATTTGAAATTGATCATTAAATATATTTTTCGTTACATTTTTTCAACTGCCGCTTCACCACGCGTAAGATGTGTTATTTCCAAGACGTTGTTTCTGAAAAGTACCAACTCTGTACGTGTTAAGTAGTTTCTAAGTGACGAAGTTTGCCAATGCTTTTCACTTGTTCATTACCATTGGTCTAGTAATACAACACCCAGCCCTGAAGTTCCTATTGACCACACATATATGAACACTTTTTCAGACGCCGCCTGATTATCCAAAGAATAGACATATGAATGCTTACCTTCTCTATGACGCTGTTGATTTCTTGCTCGGCTTTGCTGACTTCCTTTTGCTGTGGCTGAGTAGGCTCCAGTTGTTGCTCTTCCAACGGAATGTCCTCGTCGAACTCGGCGAGGTCTGCCACTGCTTCCGCCTTTGCTGTTCTGGCAGCCTGCACATCCTGATCATCCTCACAAGCAGCCAAAGCATTCTCCAAAGCACCAACGGCGATTTTTTCGTCCATTGCGGGCGGTGTTGTTGCGACAACAGGTATCTTATCGTGCTCGTCCTTTTTGGAGTCGACGAGATCCGCCAAACGAGAAGAGGCTGTCGTCTCTTCGGACTGGTCCACATTGAACAGATCTTGGATGGTCGACTGTAAAAAAACAAAGCCATTGAAGATGTTACCTGCGGTACTAGATAATAACGATAATAACAATCGTCTATATTGGTAACATGGTAAATTACGGGTGGCGAGATTCAGTTCAAAACATTTAGTTTCTAGACAAAAACACTTGGATACTGAAATATTAGCAAGTCTCAAGTTTTATCAGGTTTATGCATTCACGATTCTAATGCCTAGCCCTGGTTGCACCTAACATCTGGCAGTCAAAAACCCGAGAAGTTGCCAATATGACCAATATGATGAGCCGAAAACTGTTACGTACAGAAATTTTTTTTCCTGTCAAAACAAACATCAGCGCGCATTCCAGCGGGTCATAAATGCCTGAGCGTAGCAGCAACAAGCCAATAGAAGAGGTGATCGAGTGTTCATGTTTGCTTTGACGCAGAGTAAATGAAGTTTGAATATACAATATCAAAATGCTCCTGTCACATGGGCATCTGTATGATGTACCGTTCTCACCCCTGGATTGGCGCCATGTATTCAAATCAAGCGTTCTCACCAAAGCGACGGCAACCTGACCGAAGCTATTACATAAAAAAACTATAAAACATTTGCTCGCTATGAGCGTCATCAAAAGCGTCCATCTATGGAGGAATTCGACAGTCTCGATGACTATGTTGCAAGGTTGTTACCTCTCATGGTTTGTTGGTTACTAGCAGAGTAGCAAGATCACATTTGGATGATTGTGTGTATTGGTCTGCATATGTATGAAATCAGTGGTATTTGCTTTGTGAGAAAATTATTACTAAATATGCTGCCCATGAAATACACTTGCGTGCATGGAACTCGGTCCACTGTAAACTTTTGAATTTAAATTATTTATCAGATCAAAAAAAGAAATATGCTGTTTGAAAGACATTTTAATATGCTTTAATGTGAGTGTACGTTTATGAGAACTTATTTCGACTTAAGCAAATTAAGCTTTTTTATTATAACATAAATAGGGTTATTGACAATTTAAAACTTAACACTTAATTTCTTAATAATGGGTATGACGTTCTCTTGCCCTAAAAACATCTCTCATACAATTATGCATAGATCTAATCAAGTTTAGTATTTTTTCTTGTGGGATGTTAAGCCACTTTTCTTCAACTGCAACAATAAGCTCAGGGATCGAGTTTGGGGTATGAAGTCTAGCTCGAATTCTCCGTTTTAGCTAATCCCATAAATCTTAGACCGGATTTAGGTCAGGACTGTGTGCTAGCCACTCCATAACCAGAAAACCGACTTCTGCAATGTAATCTTGCACGATTCTTGCGATGTGCGGCCTTGCATTATCATGCATAAAGGTAAATTCGTCTCCAATGTAGTCGATGTAAGGTTCCACATAAATTGCTAAAATCTCCTCGATACATCTAAGAGACGCTAAACCTCTTCTTCCGTTAACACGGTCGCTCCTACGAATAAACTCAGGGTCGGTTCGTGCTCCCATATAAATTGCACCCAAAATCATGCAGGAACCACATCCGCTCTTCAAAGCATAAATCTGCAAATCGCTCTCTTGGTCTTCGGTACACTTTCCTTCTTCGGTCGCTACCATCTGAGAACAGAACAGATCCACATTGTTCCAACGTCCAATTCAGATGATCCCGTGCAAAACGCAGGCGTACTTACCGATGAGCTGGAGTAAATTTTGGACCAATCGCAGGTGTTTTAGGTGTCAGGTTATTTTCCTGCAGTCTTCGTCTTATTGTCCACTGACTAATAGCCACTCCTCGCTCCTCACGGAGCTGTCATTGCACTTGCATTAAGGTGACGATTTCTTAATGTTGACACAATAAAGCGGTCATCACGAGCGGTTATAAATCGCCTTCTGCCTGTTCCAGGTCGCCTATGAACGGATCCAGTCTCCTCATAACGTTGGCACACTCTTCGAACCGCTACGCGTGTCATATCAAATTGTCTAGCAACAGCTCGGTGACCAGGTCCATTTTCGATCAAAGCAATAACGCATAATATGCAAATTTCAGTTGCAAACGCAATAATTTTAATATTTGAAAAAATTTCGTTACAATCACCGCATAAAAATGTTTCATTTGTTTACAGGTTGCTATGCATATACAGGGTGACTTTGAAGTTGAGTCATTAATTTTCAGATAATGATTGTAGAAGGAAGATAAACCAAAATATGTGTGTAAAAATAAAAAAAAATTAAAAATTTTTTTTTACCTTGTTTATAAAGTATCCTCCCGTAGTATTTCAGTGCGGACCTGTATTTGATCGTGAGGTCTTGGAGCACCGGCATGCAGTCCCCTGTGAGGTCTTAAGTCACCTGATCACGAGCCCGTTGTACTACATTAACAAAGGCACGAGGGGTTGGTTGCACTCGATTGGGAAACCGATCCGCATAAATATGTGCCATTTTTTATTTCGTTTGAGCCACGCAAGCAAACACCACTATTCACTCACGCGTTTACCGACTGACACAGACTGAATAAAAACATCGTGATCAGCGTTTCAAATTCTTTCGCTTTTTTGTTTCCGATGCGATGAACCGATAAGGCGGAGTATATCCGTTGTCGTCAAACACGAGCACATAAGATTATTATTGATACAGGGCGGTACTCAAACTTCTAAAGGGCTATAACTTTGTTACTTTAATTTTACCACAAAAATGTTAAAGGAAAAAAACATTTCTTTTGATCAGATCTGCTCACTGTTAAAATAAATGACTCAACTTCGGAAGTCAACCTGTATAAAGGATAAGCCTTCTTGATAATATATACTCACATTAAAGCATATTAAATTGCCTTTCAAACAGCATTTCTTTTTTGATCTGTAAATTATAAAAAAAATAGTTAAAGTCAAAAGTTACCAGTGGGCCGATTTCTATCACGCAAGTGTATATCTATTTGCTGTGCCAGACGGGTTATTTGTGTTATCCTTTTTGAAGAGAGGTTATGTAGAAAGATATACTAGTGACATATAAATCCGAACACGCAGTTTAAATGGTTTATTTAATAAAAATTTTGTACAAGTACTTAATGAAGCATAATAAGTAATGATTGCACTGTTATAAAGCCCTTTGACCTTTAATAATGTGTGGATGCACCCTGATGTGCTACGCATTCTCCAACGCGCCTAGGCGAGCTTCTGATCAGGTGGTCAATGTCCTGTGGTATCTCATTCCAGGCAACCACCAACTCCTCTCGAAGTGCTTCTAGAGTCTGAGGAGGACGTTGCAAATTGAGCAATCTCCTATCCATCATATCCCACACGTGCTCAATTGGGGATCAGTCGGGAGATCTTGGTGGCCATGGTAACAATGTGACATCATTATGTTGAAAGAAGTCTATTGTGACTCTTGCAACATGTGGTCGGGCATTATCTTGTTGGAAAGTTGGATCTGCCAGGGTGTCAAGATAGGGTAAAAGATGGGGTTCTAGAACTTCGTGGATATAACGCTGCGCGTTCATGTTACCTCTGATGAAGATTAAAGGTGACCTGGAACCATAAGCTATAGCACCCCAAACCATAACTCCAACAGTGTGATGAACATGTCTTTCAACAAAAACTGTGGATTCCTCCTTTCACCACGTCGCCTTCTAACCCTGGCACGACCATCGTGCATGCCTGAACAAAATCGAGACTCGTCACTAAAGACAATACTGTTCCATTCCTGATCCCAGAGTGACCGTTGTCTGCACCACTCAAGGCGATTACGTCGGTGTTCTCGAGTTAAAGGGAGGACCCAGTGTGGCCGGTATGAAAACAAGCCAAAACTTCTCATTCGTCGGTAAACACTTCGCATGCCAATAGGTCCTCCGTGTTCTGCAAACCATTCATTTGCAATGGACCTGGTAGTGGAGAAACGGTCCCTTAAGGACCAATAATCTTAGGCGGCGATCTTCACGGTCTGTTGTTCTACGGGCGGCGTCCAGTGCCCCTTGCTCTTTGCGTACGGCCTTCTCGAAGCCATGCCTGACAACACCTAACCACAGTGTCTACACTTCTTTGCACTCTAACTGCAATTGCCCGAAAAGAAAGTCCAGCGTCCCGAAGTCCCACTATACGGCCCCTATCAAACTCACTAAGTTGACGAAATCGTACAGGTCTCCGTACTCTAGGCATCGTAACCTATCGTAAAGGATGTCAAGAACCAAAATCCGCCAACGTTGATTCTTTACTCTGGCTGAAATATTCATTTTTAGAGCA